AAGTCCTATCTACTTTACACACCGAAATATATTTTGAATGTGGACTTCACTTTCTCTGCTACCACTATTAGCCTTGGTGGTCAATAGCAAGCATGAATTGTTCCAATTGTACCTCTCCTCTTCCACAAATGCTCCCATCCAATCCACCTCTCACTCAATGGCATGAGTAATCTTAAGACATATATTGGATCATATGGGATCACTCCCATTCTTAGTTATCTCTGGTGACTTCCCATTGCCCTTCACCTGAAGCCCAACTTATTCCCACAGCCTACAAGGTCTTGAGGTCTCAACCAAAAAGGCACCTCTACAGAGAATATTTTTCTGAACATCTTTTCTAAAATGAGTGCCCCCTGTTCCCTTCCCCAGAACTCTTTAGTTTCTTTCATACAATGTAAGCCCCACAAGCGCAGAGACTCTACTCTGTTTTGTTCACTGTTATAACTGGTGCTTAGCAAAATGTTCAGCAAATACCACATTCACTGAATGTTAAATCAATAAATGTCCAAATCCCAGCCTGAAATACCCCTTCCCCCAACACAAGAAAGCACGTGACAACCTTTTTGGACTTAATTTATTAAATAAGTACTTGTTGAGTGTCTACTATGTACCAGGCACTATCTTAGGCACTGGGGATAACAACAAGGTCTCCACATTCGTGGAATTTAGCTTTGGCAGGAAAGTGGCAAACAATAATAGACAAGCAAATAATAAAATTTCAAGCATAAGCATTAAGAAGAAAGTAAAGCAGAGTAACAGGCCCAAGGATGAGTTAGAGAAGGTAAGTGGTATCTATCTTAAGAAGCCTGACTAGGGAATCCTCACTAAGCCGTCATCTGAATGAAGAGAAGGAGCCAGCTACATACAAATCTAGGGAGAAGCGCTATAGGCAGAGGCTCATTGAGTACAAAGGTGCTGAGCCATGGAACGTATTAGACAAGTCTGAGGCCAGTGTGGCTGGGCCCATGGAAGGGGAGAAGGTCACAGAGCCACGCAGGGCCTATGTCAAGTCAACCTCTTGGGCTGTGGTGAGAAACATGGATTTCTTGCTGAGGGTGACTGGGAAGCCTTATGGAGACTTTTAAGCAGGAGTGTATTATGCTCTAACTTTTAAAATTAGCTACTGTGTCAAGAAGGTACTGCAGGGTAAGATGGGAGCAGGGAAGCCAGGTAGGAGGCTGTGCGAACATACGTGGAAGAGATGCAGACCACAGAGATATCTACGGAGAGAGTGTGGAAAGGGCGAGAAGAGGATGTAAAGAGTTTGCCCTCTTTTTTGGCAAGCTACAATGGGGACAAATTTGGCTCAAAAATCTTAAAATACACTGACTGTCCTTCAGGGACTGGGACCTTCCGATATTCTCGTGTACTCCTGGCTTGGCCAAGTTTGACCTCATTTAATTTGTTCCCAGGAGGTGCCTTTGCACTTAACCACACCTGACCCAACTGGAGAGGAATGCAGCATGCTGGAATAGCTGGTTTTCCTCCCCACTCTCCCCTCCTCATTTATAGAAGAAGAAAAAAACAGAACTATTCTCATTGTACTGAAGGATAACAATGAAAATAAGGGGAGGGGGAGGGGGGCCTCTATTCAGTCCTGTCACCACTTAGAACTTTTGGCATCCAATAAGATTACATTAATCTGCGAAGTAATCCGAATGGGAACTAGGGGGTTTAAAGGTATGAAGCCTACAGCTGGTTTTGCCCCGCCCAGTGGAAATCTCCGGGTGATTGCGGGCACTCGTGCACGTTATTGAATAGCGCCCACTCCAATGGCAAAGTGCAAAAAGCCTGACTTCACCACAGCCAGGAGCGCAACGACGCCAGTGAGGGGACCTGCAGCTCCTCGGTGGGCGCCAAGACACGCTCTCCTGAAAGTCTGGAATCGCGTATCACTTCTCCGCAGGCAAAAGCAATCAGTGCAATCGATGTAACTGAATCGTACCCCTTCCCCGCACGGAGATCAAGTTTTAGCACATCCCAGATGGTGCAGAGATTACTCATTCATTTCTGAGAAAGAGCAGAACCATAGAGGCCTTGGCTGAACCTGAGGAAACTGATCAGAGTGCCCCCAAAGGCTCGCTAGTGAATGGCGGGTCGCGCTCCCAATGGGAGAAGAGAATGGTTTCCTGCCGCCGCGCTCCGCGCCGGCTGAGGCTGAGCACAAGAGTAAAGCCTCACTGGCCGCCCGCGCACTCAAGGTAAATTTCGTTTCTGAAAAGGCAGGTCCAAAAGACAAAGGTTGGTAAACCGCAGCAGGTATCATTTACGACGCGGCACAGAGACGCTTTCCTGCAGAATGTCATGTCACTGGCAAATGCCATGGAACCGCTCCTGACTGTGGACCGCTCTGGCAACTGGGCGTGCCCATCACCAGCAAAAACTGATGCGGAAAGTCAGTGTGGCTACCTGGGCGCTTTAAAGTCTGACTTCAAAGCTGCTCCCCAAAGCTTGGCACTATGACACTCAGCACCTCATATTATGACTAAACGAGTTAATCCATGTCAAGTGCTGAGAGCAGCACCTGGCACCCGGCAAGACCTCAGTAAAGATTAACCATCGTTACTATTAATATTTGCTCATGCTTTTCCACTAAGAAATTATTGTATCTGCATTACATATGTCTCATCTTATATGTTATAAACACCTAGCAAGAGGAAGCTGTGACTTATTTATCTCAGTCATCTCAGAGCATGGAACTGTGCAGGGCTCAGTAAAAGTGAGTGGTTTGAATTGAATTCTCTTCTCAAACCAAACATTTCAGGTGTGTCACCTTGCAGAGGTGACAGAAATGAAAACAGCGTGGCAAAATAAAAAGGTGAAATCTGAATCTCCTCTAATCCTTCATTTTCTCACCCTGCTTCTTCATAACAACCCTCATTTTGTTGCTGCTTGTTATATTTTTGTTCTGCTGGTGACTGGCTCCATTTGAGCCTCAGTGGAATCTGTGGCCCTAGCTGCCATGCACACTTAAAGCGCAATAAATTTGATATCTCCTGAACCCCCACGCAGTTTGGATATCATAAGGGATACTTAGAAAGGCCCAAGATCAAGCCATATGAGCAGATTTATTTGAGAACTCTGCGTTAAAGCCTCCAGCAAGTGCTTCTTGACATACATGAAGCAATAACAGTAATAACAATAACCACCGCCATTTGCTAAGTACTTATTATAAGTTAAGACTATGCCAAACACTTTCACATATTATCTCATTTAATCCACTCAACAAAACAAAATGTGTGTTATTTCTCTTCTGTCAGGCAAAAATTAAAAACTAATCAGAGAAAAGTCACAGCGAGCCACTTGCTTAAGGTTATACTCCCCAGTAAAATGTTGAGATTCAAACCCAAGTCTGTAACTATCCAAAGCTCATCCAGGTAACCATTCAAGTCAACAATGGTCTCGGGCCACACAGCCCAGCTCTAAACAGAAACACCACAGCACTAATTCTCTGTGGAGCAGAGTGCAGTGTGTCTCCCATGCTCCACAACACAGCACGGCAGCTCAACATATCTCCTCTTCTACAAAAGCCTCCAAAGATTCCTCTTTTCACCTGCTCCCAATTACTGCCACATAACACATGCCTTGAAATGTGATTGCCTCTGGTTTGTAACTCATGCCTAAGGGACCTGCTCCCATTTTCTTTCCTAGTGGAACAAAGGCATTGAAGCCACAGGTTGCTAAAGCAAAGCACTTATTGATTAGATTTCCATCAATATTCAGCTGCTGCTGAGAAGATTAGACTTGGACTCTTAGGTCTGGGTAGCCCAACTCCTCCCTCTCCTTGCTCCTCCTCCTGCAATGCATAACTAGGCCTAGGCAGAGCTGCGAATAAACAGGCAGGAGTTAGTCAGGTGCATGTGCCACACTCACAGAAGACCTGGAATTGACAGGAAGACTCCCAACTAGTACAATGACAGAAGATAAGGTAAAGCAGCATTATATTCATTTCAATTCTGGTTTTCAGGAGATAGGGGAATACATTCAAGTCATATAGAGGATTTAGGGGAGGTAGGGTATAGCTACTACAGATCAAAATTAATTCTCTTTACTTTGCCAATTGAAAAACTATTTCTTATTCAGTAATTGGGGTTTTAAGGATTTTTGCTCAGTTAACTGACTAGTCTGCATAAGTTTTTTCAAGTAATTGTGCATAACCATATTACTAAAGAAATATGTCCCCTCCTAACCAAAAAAAAAAAAACAAAAAAAGAAAAAGGCAGACTAACCTAAATCTAATCATGAAAACTCATCAGGAATCTTAAAAAATGTCAGTGCAGGAGAGACAAAAGAGGTAGAAGGGTTGTTCTAGATTAAAAGGGACTAAGAAAAACTGACAACGAAATGCAACAAATGATTTAGATTGTGGAAGGAAGAAAAAAACAGCAATAAGGGAACTTTGGAGACAGTTGGGAAATTTTAAATATGGGCTGCATCTTAAATAATATTACTGTATCAACGACACGCTCTTGGTTATAATAATGGTATCTAATTATGTAGGAGGATGTCTTTGCTCTTTGTACATGCTAAAGTATTTAGGAGTGAAATGACACAAACGTCTATAGCTTATTTGTAAATGGTTCAGCCAAAACAACACACACCCAAACACACACAGAGTGAGAGTTAAACAAACGTGGTGAATGTTAACCATTGGTGAATAAAGGCGAAGGTTATGGAATGATCACTGCACTACTGTTTCAACTTCTCTCTAGATATGATACTTAAAAAAAAAACTTAAAAATATAAAGGATACAGTGTCCTTGCTCCCTTATACATGGTTCCTAAATAAACTCACCCACCCCTGTACACACAATAATATAAGTTAATCAATCTGTGCCCTGTAGAGTCTCACCTTTAAGTTCTGATCTGGTGCAAGTTACTCTGTTGAACATTCCTTTATGTCATTAGATGGCATGGTTAGCAGCACTGGCTTTGGAGTCAGCCAGACTTGGATCTGGGTTCTAGCAATGCCAGTAACCTGCTGTGAGGCCTGGGTTACATTATTTAACTGAGCTTTGGGTTTTCTCTATTATGAGAAAACAAGAACATATTGGGATACAATATACCCTTTTTATAGGCAAAGAAACTTGGGCTCAGTGACATAATATGGGATATTCAGGGATTATACTAGTAGAGTTTGGGAGTAATTAAATAAGATGATATTAGAGAGGCTTAGACAACAAACATTTTAACGTTAATAGTTATATAATTATTAATAGTGTTAAATATATATTATTTAAATAGTATTTATATTACAAATTGATTATAAAATATAAATTATAAATATATAAATACTTTAAATACGTATTATATAAACACTATTTATATGTTTATGTTTATATATAATGTTTAAATAAACACTATAAAAAACTATTTATATAGTGTTTACATAATGTGCATTTAAAGAATAATTAGCACATCATGATTTCATGAGTATTATAGCCCAGGATAAAGCTAAAGTAGTTACAACTTTAAGGTCAATATAAAGACAAATATTAAGTTAACAGCTACAGAGGTGGCATGTAGATTTGGCAAAATTCATGAAGGTAGTAATCAAATAACTAAAGTTTGAAAGATACTGCAAAAAGGAAGGTAATGTGCTTAACACAGTGTCTGGCACATAGCAGATGTTCAAGCTTCATTCAAAACTATCATTAATTTTTTCAGGGGCTTTTGAAATTATGTTGTAGATCTTTTCTTGATAACTAAGGAACTGCCTAACAATGGAACCCAGAAAGAATGAGAACTGAGGTAAAGTGCAATGTTTTTCAGCTTTGTGAATCTATCCAGACTTTGAAAGAAGTAGGATAAGCAAGGAACTGGGGTTAAGAGACCTGAGTTGTCACTCTGAATATGCCCAAAATGTTCATAGAAATCAGACAAATAACATAAACAACTTGGCCTGTGAAACCTCAGTTTCTACAACTGAAGAATGGAGGAATCAGACAAGAATCCATTGCTCTCTAAGGTCTCTTTCAACTTAAAAATTCTGTGACTCGATAAGGCCCTGGCATTTTCCAAAGTTGCATGCAAGATCACCTTTGGTTTAGCTTTTGGAGACATGTAGTTTAAAGAAAAGGGTATAAGCTTCTCCTTCCTATCTAGTCAATCAGTAGTTGCTGCAAAAACCTGCTCTGTAGGTTAGCAGTGGGGTTTAAGATCATCAGCTCTGGGTTCCCACCCTAGAGTGTCTGTCACTAGCTGTGTGGTGTTAGGTATGCTCCTTAATCCTCTCTGATCCCTGGTTTCCTCATCTCTAAAACAGGAATGATTTCATGTACTTTGTGGTATTGCAAAGATTACTGGTAAAGTATGAAAAGTTGACACATGGTTGTTTGACAAAAGAAATGAATGTGATGATAAAGACATGATTAAAGATGCATTTGTCCTGTAGCCCTTTTACTGTTTATAGGAAGACCACATTATTTATCTTAGTCTTTACAGTAATCACATTAACTATTTTTATACCCATTTCTAGGCAAAGAAACTTAGACTCAGTGATGTTAGGAGCCTAGCTGGGACTCTTTTGGAGCTTTTCTGACTCCCACATCTATCTGTTTTTTCTAATAGACCCTATATGACTTACAAGCCACAATATAAACACTACATTCTGTTTTATGTTGAAGTTCAACCATTTGCTTATTCTGCCCTTCCACATTTATCCAGCAGCATATTTTAAAATGGATATGGAATCTAGTTTCTCTAACTTAAAGTTACGAGGCTCCTAATGAAGGCAGCATTTTTTAAAGTGCAAGCTGAACACTTTGTAGCCTATGAAGAAGTTAAGAGAAAAGGCTTGAAGATCTTCTGTACTTCCCGGGTATGCGGCCTTTGGACAAGTCATTTACTCTTTCCATGTGAGCTCCCCCATACACGAAACAATAATAATAACTCCTACCTACAGGGTTGCTGAGAAAACAGGCAAACCATTTAGAACCTCAGAACTTGGACAGGTTAAGATCCTCTCTAATTTCTTGCTATTTTCAGTGGCACTTATGTACTTTTTCTTATGTCAACTTCTTGGACATTATAGTGGATGAATGAAGGTTGACAGGGCTTATTAAGACTTGGTCGTTTTCGGAAATTTCCCCTCTTAGAAACAAAACCTCCTCTGACCAAGTCTAGAGCCAAGCCACATAGAAGGCTGACTATAAACATTACTTCTTTTCATTTCACAACATTGGAGAAAGAAGAGGGGGAGGGAGCCATTTTAACATGGAGTTCAGAGAGGGGAATTAAACCTGAAAATAAAAGATAAAGAAAAAGAAAGCAAAAGGAAATGCCATCAAACAGTTTCAGAGATTTTGATATTTGGGATAATCACTTTTGTTGGAAATTCTCAGAAATTCAAGTGACCTGCTTAAAATGGATGAGATTGCTCCTTATCTGACCAACCTGGTGAAATTTTCTTGGGGAGTTAAAGTAAGGAACTGCAGGCCCTGGGGTGGCAGGACCACAGCCAACCCTCAAAAAGAAACCAGGAAGGCCAGAGGACAAGGACTTTAATAACACGCTAAGATTTCTAAACGTTTAAAAACTCTCCTATCTCTTTCATAGTTGCTATTTTTGTTATTCTAATAAAATGAGAAATTGATCTTAGAGGCAGCTCCAGAATTTCTATAGCAAGGACTTAGAACAATTTGATTGGAAAGGAATAGGATGGGAGATCCAGCATCTTTAAAAATTAGCTTTCACTTTTGTCAAAGTAATGTGGGACTTTGTGACTTAGGCTGCGTATGTAAAGTGACAGGGGAGAACTAATGGAGACGATAGGGGAGTAAATCTGCTGCAGCTATTGCTATCACCCCAACTTCAATTTGTGTCGCCTCTGCTCACCATTAGCATGGCTGCTGATTGGACTCTTAAAATAAGGAGAAGTAAATTACATGTTTGTGTGGTAGAGGGACAGGGAGAGAACCCCCAGAGAGCAGAAACCCAGGGATGAAGTAGCAAGTGGCGGTCACTAAGAAACTAAGTGCCACAGAAGAAAAGAAAATGCAGGGATGACATTGGGGAAGTATACTGTGGTCTTGGGCTTGGTGGTGGGAAGACCTGAGGTTCCTCTTCAGCTCAGCTACAGATAAGCAACTGAGTAGGCTTTGCCTTTTTGGACTTTTGTCCAGATACCTCACCAAAAGTTTCTACTGGTAGGTAGGGGGAAAGGGATTTGTGTGGTAGGTGGTGGGAAAATGTGGTTGAGATTTCTGGGTGTTTGAAGCCAAACAGCAAAACACCCACAAGTGGTAAATTCTGTGGATATGTATGCTCTTAGCTTTTTTAATTTATAAAGATTATGGTCCTAGATTTTTCAGATGTGCTTGACTTTTGAATGTCTGTATCTGACTAATGAAGGATGCGAAATAACCAAGAAGTTAAAAGCATAAGATCTGGAATCAAGTCATTGTTCTTTTATTTACTAGCTGAGAGATGTTAAACTAATCTAGTTATCTATATAATGGGGACATGAATGGTGCTGCCATGAAGAATGTGGTAGGCAGGATAATCGTCCTCCAAAGATGTCCACAGCTTCATCGCCAGAACCTGGGAATATCTTGCTTTATGTGGCAAAATACTTTACAGATGAAATTAAGGTAATATTGTCAGTGCCAGAGAGATGTAACATGAGAAGGACTTGACGTTCTCATTACTGGCTATAAAGATGAAAGAAGAATACCAGTAGCCAAGGACATTTGGTGGCATCTAGAGCTGGGAATGGCCCTTAGTTTATAACCAGGGCAAAACAACAGACTTTAGACCTATAACCGTAAGGAACTGAATTCCACCATCAACCCAAATTTTCTCCAACAGCCTCCAGAAAGGAACACAGCCTACCAACAACCTGATTTTAGTCCAGTGATACTTGTACCAGACTTCCATCTACAGATGTTTTTTGTTGTTGTAGAGATGGGCATCTCGCTATGCTGCCCAGGCTGGTCTTGAACTCCTGGCCTCAAGCAATCCTCCAGCCTCAACCTCCCAAATGCTGGGATTATCGGCATGAGCTGCCCTGCCTGGCTAAACCTTAAGATAAATAAATTTGTGTTGTTTAAGCTGCTGCACTGGTGGTAATTTGTTATGGCAGCAATAGAAAACTAATAAAAGAAGTAAATGAGATAATCCACATAGTGAACAGGCATGCAGTAAGCATAAGTAGTATTAGGCTTTGAATCTGTTTGCATTGCATCTCACATCAGATAGTCCTGATTTTAGTGATGGAGAGTATGAAGGAGGTGGGTTAAAGCCCTCCCAGGGTACTCCTTATCCCCTCACGTCTGACAATGGTTACTACCTGTAAAAAGGATGAAAATCCCTATCCTTGGAAACAGCTTGAGGGGAAAAAGGATTTAAGGAGAAACCACCAACTAAGTAAATAAAACTCCATCTTAGCTTTGGCTATCTAAGCCACTCACTGAGTTTTAGATGTCGAGTTACATTTTAGAGGATAATTCTAATAATTTTTCATAATCACATAGACCATATATCATATACTGTGTGTATGCATTTTATGTGTAATATATATAATTCATATGTAATAAACATAAAATGTTAAGCTATATCTTATATATAAGATATAAATGATATATAAATATATATAAGATATGTGATAAATATCAGATGTAAATGATATATAAATATGTAAAATAAATATACATATATATTTTGAGACAGGGTCTTGCTTTGTCACCCAGGCTGGAATGCAGTGGTGCAACCATAGCTCACTGCGGCGTCGACCTCCTGGGCTCAAGCAATCCTCCCACCTCAGCCTCCCGAGTAGCTGGGACTATAGGCATACACCACCATGCCTTGCTAATCTTTGTATTTTTTTGTAGAGATGAGGTCTTGCTATGCTACCCAGGCTGGTCTCGAACTCTTGGGCTCAAGCCATCTGCCCACCTCAGTCCCTCAAAGTGCTGGGATTACAGGTGTGAGCCACTACGCCTGGCCAATTTATATCGCATAAACATATTATACAATATTATATATCACATATATATTATTCTTTTGGGCAATATATATGTATCATATAACCATATCTTTGGGGCCAACTTTGAAGTCCTTTCTTTCAGAGAAGGAAGTGTTAGGAGGGAAAGTCTGTACAGATATCTGCAATATTAGTGAAAGGGGTGGAAGCCTTGTAAACCTACAGATTCCTCATCCCTGCCCCAGAGATTCTAATCCAGTAGAAGGTCTGGGGCTGTCTCCAAGAAGCTACATGTGTAACAGGCTCTCCAAGTAGGGTCTGGTTTTAGAACTACTGGACTAAATAATTTCATGGACTCCCAGGGTGGTTCTGTGATAATACTTTGTAAAGCTTCTGATCTCCAGCTTTTCAGGGTAATGAGGGGTCCTGGCTAATTTGCTATTCTTTATACTGGGGCTTTATACCAGGATAGGGGGATTTAGTATCACCCTAAAATTTAGAGAAAAACTGAAGCTCCTATAAGGGAAGTGGCTTGGGTCATATACCCACTAAGAGAGTGAGAACTGGAATCCATGTTGATGTGACTCATTCATTTACACAACAAAGTTCCTGCTATATCCCAAGCTTTTAAAAAAAAATTAAATTATGTAAATGTACATGAAATATTTTCCTTACGAAATGTCTAATCATATGAATACAAGAAAAAATTTCCTTCACTCTCCTTCTCCAACCTCACATTCCTCCTCAAGGACCATCAACTCATTTATTCTTCAAGAAAACATTCTATGAATTATATACACCATACACAAATCAAATAACTGTTTTATTTTTTAAATCAAACAATTAAACTCATGTTTAAGCCTTTAAAAAAAAGTTAGATTACATAACTTCCTTCGCCACTTATAAGTCAGTACACATGATCATATTATTCCTTTGAACTGCTGCATAGCATATGGTATGTATCTGATGTATGTGTTATGATGTATCTGAATCTATTTGACTATTCCCCATTGAACAATATTTAGGTTCTTTCTACAATTTTGCTATCACATGAGTTCATGGGGATGAATGTTCTGCCCCTTTTCTACACAGTTTCATTGTAGCTACATGGAGTTGGGGAGAAAATAATGGCCCTTATCCTACAACTCTAGGCTGAACTAGATACAAATCCTGAAAAGTAGCCTTCCCTGGATGTTGATGCAGAACATGATAAAGGCTAATGCCTCTTATATGAGTATTGAGGTGTTTTTGTCACCATGTCAATGTCCAAAAGAGCTCCCCATCTCTTTATTACTGCTGTCTTTATTTTACTGCTCCCAATGATATAATGGCTCTACCTTGGTGGCTCCTTTCCGTCAGCAGCTATTCTAGTTCTCAGTCCTGATTCTGAATATATATATATGTATCTCAACATATATATATCAACAAATATATATATATAAAACAACAAAGTTTGGATTTTCTGCATGATGACTATTTGGGTGGATTTTTTTAATCAAGTAATTTCAATGATTTTTCTCATATATTTTATACATCCCTATTCTGGTATCCAGTGAATAGACAGGAGAGGTATGTTATTCTCATACACATATATGGAAACTTTTTTTCCTCCCCTGGAAGAAGCTGTCCCAAACTTCTTTGAGTTTTAGCAGCATAGGGGAAATGATGAATGGCTCTCACATTCTTGTATGAACACCACCTGCCAGCCTGGAGCACAGGGCATACTGCAAATCCATACTGAGGGGAAAGAACCAGCCTATGGAGCCTGTAAGAAGTTCAAGCTGCAGCCTTGCAGAAAGATGGGAAACTAAAATTGCTTGGTGTTTCCCTGCCCTGTGTCTCTCCCCCTGCAGGTCACTGGGACCCTGGTTTTCACTGTCATCACCGCTGTGCTGGGTTCCTTCCAGTTTGGATATGACATTGGTGTGATCAATGCACCTCAACAGGCAAGTGAAATATGTACAAGTTCTCTTTTTGGCAAGTTCTGTCAGTGATAGATATCATATGTTCCTCATACACAGAGATAAAAGGTGTCCACGTGGGAGACACAAGGTCATCCTGGCCTGTCAGGTACGATGTGCACTGTTCCAAAGCTGATAACTTGGCCTTGACTCCTCAATTAACAATCACGGGGGGAAAAAAAAGGAGGCAATAAATAATTCTTAATCTCTGACTATGCTATTTGCTGAGCTCACAGAAAACTCCAGGCAGAATATCATGTGCTGAAGGAAACTTCAAAAAAAAAAAAAAAAGAGAGCTCATTGCAACATTCATTCAGAGCTCTCAGGCATACATGAATGAAAAGTGCCAGGGAATAAGGATGTTTCACTCAGGGCACATTTTTTGAGCACCTGCTTATTTGCATCAGGTACTTTAACATATGATCTCCCCAACTGGATCCTCCCAACAACCTTATTATGCCCATTTCCAGTCTATATTAAAACCTTAAGAAGCCCTAAACTAAAAGAGATTATGGTCCTTCCCCCACCATTCCTGTCTTCAATAAGTGATCCAAAGTAAAGTAATATAAAACTTTAGAATAATATTCAAGAAGTTCAACAAAGTTTGGATTTTCTCCATGATCACTCTTTGGGTGAATTTTTAATCAAGTTATTTCAACCATTTTTCTCATATATTTTGTGCATCCTTATTCTGGTATTTAATGAATACACGGGAGAGGTATGTTATTCTCAGTTCCCACAGCCCATAAGTTGGGGAACCAGGACTTCATTCCCCTCTGCTCTAACTAGACTGTGAGGTCATTGAGGGCAGGACTGATGAATTGTTCCTCTTCCTATCACTGGTGCCAAGCACAGTAGTTGGCATAAAGAAGGTACTCAATAAAGAGGAGTGAATTAATGAAAGAGAGAAGAGGAACTTGGGGAAGAGGTGGCATAAAGTGAAGGTACAAACATTGTTTGGATGCCTTCTATAAGTCCATTATATTTCCTCTGCTTCTTTTAGAACATCAGGCCCCAAGGAAAATGAAAGATACTGCAGGGTGTGGATATGTGAAATACGCGCTGACCATATTCCATCACCTGAAAAGGGCTGCTTCCTACTGAAAGATGTGCTCCGATTAGGTGCCACAATCATCAGGAGTGTGGCAGGCTAAGAGATCCAGGGCATAGTGCTGGGGATCAAGAGACGAGGGTCATATCTCTTTTGTGTGGGTGATGACAACACATGCCAATTTAGCAGGTTTCCGGGAATTTAACATCATTTAACAATTTAACACTCAACATCACCATGACTTGATTAATAGAGCCCCTTCTCTTTTTGTGGAAGACTTTATCACATCATTAATTAAACCATCCCTGGCCGGGCTCAATGGCTTACACCTGAAATCCCAGCACTTTGGGAGGCTGAGGCGGGCGGATCACCGGAGGTCAGGAGTTCAAGACCAGCCTGACCAACATGGAGAAACCTCGGCTCTACTAAAAATACAAAATTAGCCCAGCATGGTGGCACATGCCTGTAATCCCAGCTACTCGGGAGGCTGAGGCAGGAGAATCACTTGAACCTGGGAGGCAGAGGTTGCAATGAGCCGAGATTGCACCATTGCACTCCAGCCTGGGCAACAAGAGCGAAACTCCATCTCAAAATAATAATAATAAATAAAAATTTAAAAAATTTTTAAAATTAAACCATTCTCTCCAGTCTTAAAGGGAAGCTTAGGCTAAGGTTTCATATCCTTCAATCGAAGTCCCAGAGCCAGAGCTGAAAACAGCGATCCCCATGCTGGCATCCAAGTTAGTGCTCTCTCTATATACAGGCCCTTCCTTTTGTGTTTAAATTGCTGCTGAAACACCATTAAGTAAGAGATTTTTAAGCCCTTTTTTATCAGCTGAATGACATTTAGGATTATTTGAAAGGATTTTAAAATCACACTTTCGTATGGTTATGAAAATTACACATGCCTACTGAAGACAGTATTAGAAAAAAAAATACTCATAATTATTCTACCAGAATGAGCAAACTGCTGAGAACATTTTGGATATTTCCTTCCAGCTTTTTTTTTTTCTATGCATATTATTCATATAAGGCAGCCTTCTAGTGAGGCAAATGTTTTTGTTTTAGTTTTTTGAGACAAAGTCTCACTCTATTGTCCAGGCTGGAGATTTTCACTTCAACGTTTGCCTCCTGAGTTCAAGTGATTCTCCTGCCTCAGCCTCCTGAGCAGCTGAGATTACAGGCTCCAGCCACAATGCTTGGCTAATTTATTGTATTTTTAGTAGAGACAGGGTTTCACTACATTGGCTAGGCTGGTCTCGAACTCCTGACCCCAAGTGATCCGCACACCTCAGCCTCCCAAAGTGCTAGATTACAGGCGTGAGCTACGGTACCCGGCCTGAGACAAATGTCTTGATCAGAATTCTTTTATAAGAGGATGCTCAATTATTCACCTCACTCAGCTGGCATTACCAAATAGGCCTTTGCCCATAACTAGTCACCCAGAGCAGCTGCATTCCAGGTCCTTTACAGAGAGTACCCTCCCAGCTCACTGATGCTAAATAGTGACCAAATCATCATTGAGAGGAAGATGAGGCCATCTTCCTCCCATGTCCTATAATTCATCTGAATTATATGAAGCACATTACAAAATATGGCTCCATGAAATTTAGTTTTCAATGTTGTTCATTCTGTTACAAACTTAACTCTATGAGGACCCACAGGAGAAACTTCCTTCAGGTCTCAATGCCTTCTCAAGGGCCACTAAGTTATTGTTATCTTAGGAATTCATCAATAATATACCTGGTTGTTTTCCTCTCTTTGCCCTGGTGGCTAGGAAGTTTACTGGTAAATTTATAGCTCACTTCCAACAAAGATATACCACCTAGTGTTTGAATTCTGTATGCTAACTTTATTTTTGACCCTCATCTTAACTTTTCCAGTCTTTTTTCTTATATCCACTTTTATGATTCTGTTAAGCTATGTATATGTCAATTTAAATCCTGCTGTGCAGAAGTAATACTAGCATGAAAATGTATCTTTGTAGCTTGCAGAATATATATATTTTTTGAGACCCAGGTCTTACTTTGTCACCCAGGCTGGAGTGCAGTGGCTCCAACTTGACTCACTGCAGCCTCAATCTCCCAGGCTCAAGCAATCTTCCCGCTTCAGCCCCCCAAGTAGCTGGGACTACAGGCGTGTGCCACCATGCCTGGGTAATTTTTAGTATTTTTCGTAGAGATGGGGTTTCACCATGTTGCCCAGCCTGGTCTCAAACTCCTGAGCTCAAGCAATCCACCCACCTCGGTCTCCCAAAGTGCTGAGATTATAGGTGTGAGCCACCATGCCCAGCCTAGCCTGCAGAATAGTTTCCATTTCAATAGTTGCCAATATAAAAAATTTGAAAAATTTTACATAAAAACTCAGATTTCTGACTTTCTGTTAAAAAATTAAAGGTCATCCAGCACCAGTTTCACATTTGCAGCTTCCTTCTGCTCTCCAGTTCTACAATCCTGACCATTCCGTATTAGTCCCAAATAGTGGAAAATGTATTTTAGTCTCCCAGTCATCAAAGTACTGCATGTTCCCTTCATTTATTTGTTTCTGCCTGGTTCTTGTTGGCAATGGAATTTATAACGTCTATTTTATAGGATATGGCCAACTGTAAACAAATCTATCCATGTTTATATGTATATAAAACACATAATTGAGATGGTACTATTTAAACACATAACAAACACTTTAAAGACAAAACAAACAAAAATACATAGAATGTTTGAAATAGTAAAGCTATTTTTCTTTATCTCCTAGATAATAATATCTCACTATAGACATGTTTTGGGTGTTCCAGTGGATGACCGAAAAGCTATCAACAACTATGTTACCAACAGTACAGATGAACTGCCCACAATTGCATACTCAATGAACCCAAAACCAACCCCTTGGGCTGAGGAAGAGACTGTGGCAGCTGCTCAACTAATCACTATGCTCTGGTCCCTGTCTGTATCCAGCTTTGCAGTTGGTGGAATGATTGCATCATTCTTTGGTGGGTGGCTTGGGGACACACTTGGAAGGTAGGCAAATTTCATAAATAAGCATAAACAGAAACTTGCGTATTTTCATTTTCTTAACATTTGTTTAGAAAAATACTATCTTTCTTCTTGCGGAACAGCATTAGAGTTGTTTTTTCAACTCATGACCCTATGAGGCATATCAGTGTTAGATCAAACCAATGAAAGTTTGATTAATTGTTCGGACATTTATACCAAACGTGATTTTTGTGTGTATTTCTAGATAATTGCTTTGATCCTCTAGCTTTGTAATTTATAAAATATACTAGGAGACCACTACACAAACGGTTAACTCAGGAACTCAGCAGAAGAGACTAGAGTTTTTAACCTGGGAGTCCACTGTTTGTTTCACCAAATCACACTGTTTCTCAAACATCCAGTTTTCCCTTTTTAAATTAGAATTTGGCATTTGGATCAGTCAAGTACAAAGGTTCAGTCAATATCCCCAACTCCCAGTTGCCCAATGTACTTGGTATGTGGTTTCTGGCTGCTGGTCCTGCTTGCTATCTCAAAGCCCCAACCAGAGATGAGGCAAGAGATACCTCCATTTATCACTTGGGTGTCTGTTAGGTTTTTTGGATTAAAAATATCAGTGGAACTCCTTTACCCTCAAATTTTACTTATTCATGCAATGTACTACAGCTGTTGGAATTTCCTACCCTATATAGAGAGGAAATAAAACCAGAGTATCAAATGATTATTTTTTAGATTTATTTTTTCTCCTATTTGAGCCCACCTTTTGCACATTACCTTTTTTCTCATAAAAATAATATATGAAAAATTTAGAAAAATGAAAATGCCTTTAAAGATGTAAATAACAATTTAGGCAACTAGTTTAATAATTCTGAATTACGATTCACTTAGATTTTTTAATTCTTATTATAAATTATAATTTTTAGCTCTCTATTAAAATTCTGATAACTCTTCCTCTTATACTGGAGCTTTTATATAATATGACTATAAGTTTTCTTAACTACAATATCATGGTAACCCAAGTTGTATTATTATTTTTATTTGAAATGGCGTTTTCTCCACCATAAAAGACAGTGGTCAGTTTCTTACCTTTTAATCAACTTGCTGATGTTCAGTTGAACTTTAAATAAGAATCTGTAAAACACAGATTAATAAACTGAATTTCATCATTTAAAAAAATTTAAAAATAATTTCAGTGTGTATCAAGTTGCTTTAAGTAGTAAGTGGAGAATTCTCTAGATTAATTATTTATTTCTGAAGTAAATTATTCCCTAGCAAGTAGACTCAGACAAAAGGAAAAAGGAAAAATAATTAAAAAAAAATTTTTAAAGTAAATCAAATTAAGCAAAATTAAATTACGTTTTAAAATATGAACAAATCATTTAGCAACTACTGATATTTTATACTACTTCTCATTCCTGAAGAAAAAATGTAAACCCTGGTTGCCCCTCATTTAGAGGTAAGATTCTGATAAGTTCAGTGACTTAACCTAAAACATTTAATTAGTGTTAACATTTAATTAACACTTAATGGAGCCAATACACAAACCTTCTGAAGTCTTAGGATTTGGCATCAACAATGGTTATACCTCAAAACAATATCAAATGACCATGTATCAAATGACCTATGATAAACAAAAAGTGAGGTTTCTTCTAGCTTTTAGTAGAAAAATGATCCTCCTTGAAAAGCAACCCAAAAGTTCACAACTTCAACATCAAAATTAAGAAAAAAGTTATCAGTATCCCCTATAAAATTATCTTTCTAGACTCATTGAGAAGTGACATGATTTTCATTATTACCAGTGTCATTTATCCATCAGTTAAAAGTAAATAAATAAAAATGTAATACTTCCATTATTGCCTTATAAAAAAAGTGTTTCCTTGCAATTGTGTAATAGTCAATAGATGTCTGCGGCCACCATTTTCTAGTTTTGGGTTTGCAAGGCCAATTTTTTCAACCTGTGCATTTACAGTTTAATTACCAGGGTATGGTAGAGAAGACTATGGTCTGTGCAATCCACACTACCATGAGTAAAGGAAGCGATGCATAGCTTGCCTTTGAATGCATGCATTCTTTTCCATCAAAAATGGAACTCATTAAAATGAAGCATTACCCTTTGGTTTCACACAGATCAAGTCCAAGATCTGTCACTTAATAGCTGTATGAAAATAAGCAAGTTATTAGGTTCTCTAAAATGTTTTCCTCCCATCTGCAATGTGAAAACAAAAATAATACCTACCTCATGGCATTATTGTGAGGATTTAATGAGAACAAATATAAAAGGTTTAAAACAATGCCTAACATATATTAAGCAAGCAGCAAATGTGGCCTCATTTTGATGATGATGATGATGATGATGACCACAATGACCATGACCACGACAATAATGAAGCCTATACTATCTGAAGTATTTAGAGTCAAATTTTAAGAAATATACTTAGGTAGAATTAAGTTTCTTTTTCCCTGATTCAGCTATTTCATGTATTTTTAAAATTATTTATTTGTGGCCATTTCTCATATCTGAACAGACATTAAAAGAATTTAAATTATATAAAGTGCTCCTGCATCCTTTGGTGATAGGGAAAGGGGACTTTTGGGCAATCTGGCATCCAAGATTCTTCCAGGCTATTTCTTTTATGACTTTTTATCTTTTTTCCCCTAATAAAAGAGACTATTAGCTAGGAGGTAACAACTGGTTAAGGTCAATTATTGAATTTGCCTGCCCTCTGTCCCTGTGTAGATAAAAAGCATTTCACAATAGTCTAAACTACTAACCACCCCTTAACTGTTTTTCTACTCTGTAGCTCTGGGGCTAGCCAGCTCTAAATCACTCTGTTTCCCTATACCCATTTCATACTGCTGCTGTAATGAATTATCCCCAATTTAGTGGCTTAAAACAACACAAATATGTTTTCTCATAGTCTTGGAAGTCAAAAGTCCAAACTCAGTTTTAGTTAGCTAAAGTCAAAAGGTCAGTAAGGCTGTTCCTTCTGGAGGCTCTGAGGAAGAATGCATTCCTTGCCCTTTTCCAGCTTGCAGTGACCAACTATATTCTCTGGCTTGTGGCCCCTTCCTCCATCTTTGAAGCACAACATTCTAATCTCTACTTCTGTCATCACATCACCTGCTCCTCTTCTACCTTACTCTTATAAGGACACTTGTGATTACATCATTGGATTCACTCAAATAATTTAAGATAATCTCCCCATCTCAAGTTTCTCAATCACATCTGCAAAATCTCGTTTGCTATGTGAGGTAACATTTACAGGGTCTGGGGATTATGCTGTAGGCTGCTGGGAGACATGATTTAGCCTATCACGTGGATGTTAGACAATCACTGCAGTATATGACTTTATAGCTTTATGCTCCAGAAAAAAAAAAAAAAAATCTGTTGGTGTTAAAGACACTTGCATAGAAAAAGCCCACCTATCAAAGTTTGAAGCAGTGAAATAGAATATAACAAGGACGTTTACATTTCTTTTGGCACAAACATTTTCACACCTGTCTACTCAGACATTTATTGGCCTTACTATTATCTTTTTGACTGCAAAAAAAGGTTTTCTGTGTACCTTGCTTTCCCATTAATTAGAAATAAAAGGAACGGATATCTGCAAATGTTGTCAATTTTCATCTGATTAATTTTGAAAGTGTTTTTGTTGCTACTGTCAGCTCTATTATGTATTTTACACTGGTCACTATTAATTTATAGATTTTGGAAATATGCTGGCATATATTAAAATAAGGATAATTATAATTCTCTAGATAAGGCTTAAAGTAAGTTTTAAATTACTTCCAAATAATTTATACAAAAGGAAATTTAACTTTGAAAGTTCCTTTCCTATCTAGATCAATTAAAAACCTGTGCCACTGAAAGAAAAAAAAAAGTTGTAGGTTACAACTACAGAATTGAATTTAGCTGTCACCAGGCAATTATTCTTTAAAACAATCAACTTAGAGAAAACTTAGTTAACTCTTTGAAAAACTGTCAGAAGTGTTATCTTAAGCTAGTCATCACCGCGATTGAATCATCTCTATCAAAATGTAGAGACTGCGCTGGAGCCTGGGAGGTCAAGGCTGCAAAGAACCATGATGGTGCCTTTGCACTCCAGCCTGAGTAACAGAGCAAGCGAGACCCTGACTCAAAATAAAAGAGAAACATGTAGAGATCAAGTGGATGCAACCTAGGTTCTTTCATCATAAATCTTGCTTATTACTAATACTTTAGTCCATAGATGAGTCAAATTAGCAATCTTGGTTCAAGATTCCCCAACTAGGTTTTACAGCAAAATTAAAATAATTGCTCTTAAGTTAAAAAAAAAAAAAAAAAACTCAACATGCTCTGAAAGCAAATAATTCTAGCAAGTTTTGATGCTGAATTTATATTCCTTGCTTTTTAAAATTTCAGAATCAAAGCCATGTTAATAGCAAACATTCTTTCATTAGTTGGAGCTCTCTTGATGGGGTTTTCAAAATTGGGACCATCTCATATACTTATAATTGCTGGAAGAAGCATATCAGGACTATATTGTGGTAAGTCTCTCTCTCTCTCTCTCTCAAACACACACACACACACACACACACACACACACACACACACCCCTACCTTTGTCTGAAAGTAACTCTAAAGGCGGATGTGGTAGCGTTCAGGGATATTTTTGAGTCTAGGGTGACATCACAGAGGGAAAGGCAATAGCATAAAGTTGAAATCCAGAGTCAGGGGGGTTTGTGACCAGTAAGTAGGAATTATGATGCTATCAAGGTCCTTGTCAATGGGAATGACATCATTTCTAGTTGTATGATCACAGACAAATTATTTAACTCTGATTCTCAGTTGCTTCATTTATTAAATGAAGTGGATAATAATATCTACCTTACAGGGTGATTGTGAGAACACATGTAAAATGTTCCGCATAGAATCTGACATACAGTAAGCTACCAGTAAATGCTAGCTGTTGTTATTACTGCTGCGCTATAGCAGACAGTGGGAGACTGCTATACCACGACCCTTAATTCTGCCCTTATGGAATACCTGGCTGCCATGTCTCCATCTCTTCTATCTGACAAGACCTTAACACTCTGAACCCATCTCTTAGACCACATTCCCCAGCCCTGTATGATTCTAGACATGACCGAGTGAAGCATTACGGTGGTGGTGTCTATAGGGAGAGGGAATCAGACAGAAGCAGCTGATACTTAAAAGTTCAGAATAAAGGAAAGAGGTTCCTCTCATGAACTTTATTCTGAATAGTGGGAATCACTAGTTTTTAGAGACAGCTTTTCAAACATTCAGAAGCAATTAATTAGCAGACGTCTGAACAAAGGCAGAATCATTCAATCTCTCTCTAAAACAAATGGCTAAATCTTTAACTTCTGCCAATGAAGCTCTGATTTTGATGGTGCTAGGTTGAGATTTTAACCCATTTTCACAAATTATAGTTGCCTTTCAAGGCACTTCTATCCATGGGGATGGGGAATGAGTCGTGAGGACATAGATTTGTATATAAAAGTATTTTTAACACTTTTATCTACAGAAAAGACTTGAATTCCATGTATCTTCAATGATCAGTTGAAGCAAAAGTCTAAAATACGAAGTTAACAGCCTAATTAAATCTCTTTTTATTATTTTCAATGTTAATACAAATAACTGAAGGTCAGTGTAGCTTTATCAAGGTAAAGAGTCAACCCCAAATGTGGAAAGAGCTTTGGATTCAGAGCAAATAAATTCTGGCACTGTCTCTGCTTGGCCTTAAACACTAAATCTGAGCCTCAGTTTCTTCTCTCATAAAATGCAGATAATAACACTATGAATGAAGTCCCAATTATGATTCTTCTTTCTTTTCTCTCCATTTAAAAAAATACAGTGTGAAAAAAATTATGAAATATTTTTGGTAAAACTGAAAATAAATGCTATAAATACATTGCAAAACAAACTATAACTAGCATAGTCAACCAACTTGAACTCCCCAACCATCTTCTAATATTATGTTTGGCTGTATTCTGAGCATTAAAGTTCCTAAAAATTATAGGAAATATAATTTGACTTCAAGTTCATGTGACTTCAGACCTGTGAGCTTATCTACATTATTCTGTTTTTCAGGTATAGTATTAGGTATTACAGAAAGATAGTACAACTTAGAATAGAGGCAAATAAATTGAGTTTTTTAATTTAAGATCAACAGGCTACACATTAAAAGTCATCTGTAAAATTCAGCTGAAATATAGATGCCATATCACACATATAAATGTTCATTTGAGATATTAAGAACAACTTGAAGCATTAAAAGATGTATTTTGAAAACAATTGTCAAAGCATCTTTTACACAAAGATCATCCATTTCAATTTGATAGGCAGGTAGTTTCTAAGAAGAAGCCTCTACAAATCCTGTTTTTAAATATTTAAGAAAATGCCAAACATTTAATTCACCCTTGCCTATTGATAGTCTCTGAACTTTTTATGCAATCAGCAAATGGCTGGACACTCCATTTCCAGCACAGCTGATTACATGTGCATTTAAGAAAGCTTCAGAAGGCAGAATGACCTAGTGCTTTCAAATGCTCTGTATTCATTTAAGTACCAAAAGTCTTTCTTCAAATATAATTTTTTCTGAGGCCTAATATTTGAATAGAATAAAGGAGCTGAGTTTCTCTGGTTTCTAACTGGGGAAGAGTCCATAAGATCCTTAACCTCTTCTACCTCTCTGCACCTCCCCTTCCCCCTCATCACCAACCCCTCTAACATTGTGGAAATTCAGTTAGGGCATATTGTTCTCACACTAATGCTCTGTTGCTTGTGATCTTTGGCAAGCTGTTTCTCACATCTATCAAGAGGCTGGTGGAGATATGTTCTGATTTCCTTTAATCTCATGAGCCCTGATTAAGAATATTATTAAAACATTCTTCAATTTCTTTTCTGAAGACAACCTAAGGCATTATGATGTAAACTAAAAATTAACATGAATTTTAATTAAATAAGATGATGTAATGAAGAACTGCCAAATACATGACTAACCATTTCTTTCTATTCATATTTCCAACTACAACTACATTTGGGGTCATATCAAATATCTCTTGCACAAACTATATCTATACCTAGGAACAAGGGTTCATCCTTCCAGTGAACTCAGGGAGGGGCTTTTATTCAAGATATATACTGTACTTAAACCAAATTGTTGTTATTGAGACAGTCCTGGTTGCACTTTAACATTTATGTTCATGTTTCATGCAGGGCTAATTTCAGGCCTGGTGCCCATGTATATTGGTGAAATTGCTCCAACCACTCTCAGGGGCGCACTTGGCACTTTTCATCAGCTGGCCATTGTCACGGGCATTCTTATTAGTCAGGTAAAAACTCCCCATCCTTATCCCCTACTGCACCCATCTACTTCATCCTCTGCAGTACCACTACTACTATTGCATCCCCTACTGTACTTCCTCCACTTCATTCATCTTCTCCCTCCCTGACTGTCCACTCTCACTATAGACCAGCACAGAAAGAGAAGCCAGTTCTACCAGTGGTAGCGGAGGTGGTGTAGAGACATAGACTTTTTCACTCAAAGGTAAATTATGATCACTCATCACTTTTCCCCTTGGAATTGTTGGTGGGATAGTACTGGAGGTGACCTGGCAAGCCAGGTCTTAACTTCAGAGCTATTCTAGAGTTAAACTATTCCATTTAGATTATAAGAAATAGAAAACTTCAAGGATTGGATTGCCTGGGTTGCCTTTGTTTTAAACATCTTACTTGGGAATCTAATATGTAAGTCATTGCCACAGGAGCTCCTGTTCATTTGAGTCTATACTTCCCTTCTACCCTATGGTATCAGAGGGAGTCTGGGACCCCACGCCTATGACAATCCAGAGGGTAGTCTATAAACTATTGCCATAGGAATCACCAAGATAGTTCTCATCACAGTAATTGTTCTATCTATGGAACCCCTTTCTATTTAAGTTCTGCGTAATATAAGAAGGAAATACCAAGCAAAGGTCCAAAGTCATGGCTGATTTTAGCACAACCAGATTCTATCTGGTTGCCTGGAGAATACAGCTACGTGTTGCTTTAGATATCAAGTATATATTTTTGTTTAAGCTTGGTTGATTCTCATCCTGACTGTCCAACTGGAGTTGATGAAAATGAACCTAGGTTAATTCCTTATATAGCAAATAGTTCCTAATTTAGTTAAAGTGAGACACGATAGTTAATAGTTTCCAAAGTTGTCAGAGACTACTATTAAATAGTCAAAGTACTTTTTCAACAAATTGGTGTAAAAGGTAGATCCAAAGTATTATGTAGTTGATATGCGTCCTCTTTGCATTTTCAGATTGTTGGTCTTGAATTTATCTTGGGCAATTATGATCTGTGGCACATCCTGTTTGGCCTGTCTGGTGTACGAGCCATCCTTCAGTCTCTGCTACTCTTTTTCTGTCCAGAAAGTCCCAGGTACCTTTACATCAAGTTAGATGAGGAAGTCAAAGCAAAGCAAAGTAAGTCTGTGGATGGTTCTTCTTTCTTCCTACTGTTTGAGCGTTATCAGCTCATGTAAAACAGTGTGTTATATAATGTAAAACAGTGCCTTCCACATGAAGCTAGTGATTAAATGTAAGAAGAACGTGCAAAATCGCTTTTGTATGACTAGTGCATGTCATTTGGCACCCATAGGCATTCAGTTAACCGAAACCAGAAATCCATATACAGGGTATTAGACTCAGCCAGAGGTTTCTCAAAGATCCCTCCAGCATTATGCTTCTAACATAATGAGGATCTAGTTGTATTTGTCATAAGATGAAGCCAAATGTTCCGTTTTTCTTTTAAATCAAAGAGCAGGATTTAACAAAAAAAGAATTTCCAACACCCATGCTATTAAGTAATAAAACGGGGCATGCAGAAATGTAGCTCTTTCATTAACATAAAAATAAATTTCTTTTTGTTTTGACTTGAGTTGTTTCAACCCGATCATTTCCCGGCACAGGCTTGAAAAGACTCAGAGGATATGATGATGTCACCAAAGATATTAATGAAATGAGAAAAGAAAAAGAAGAAGCATCAAGTGAGCAGAAAGTCTCTATAATTCAGCTCTTCACCAATTCCAGCTACCGACAGCCTATTCTAGTGGCACTGATGCTGCACATAGCTCAGCAATTTTCTGGAATCAATGCGGTAAGTTTAAGAACACCCACTAATTCTTAAGAGCACAGTGAATTAAAACAGGGAAGACAAGGGGTACAAGTTTAAATAGCTAAAAGATATTTTAAGGTATTGGCATCATGGGTCTTGCTACAACAAACATACATTGGGCATTAATTTTCATTTTGCTTCAAAAGTTTTCTAAAATTACTTAACAATATTTTTAAATGTCAACAGTCAATGGTACTGTATATCTATTAAGGTGAAGGCAAAAAGCAAAAATCTTAATACATCCAAGGAGAGAAAAGGAGAATAATTATACAACCCTCCCCAAAAAAACTGCAAGGAGCTTCTACAGTTGAGTATTGAAATTAGGATTTCTGATAGCCCAAGTCAAACGGAATCCATGGTTCCTTTCATCTGTTTAAATGAAGTATACCAGATAGCCAGGTGCAAAGAGCAGTTTCCTGCCATCCAAGAAACTCTCACTCCATTTGAGGAGATAGTACACAAAATAAATAATACAGTAAACTGGCATGCTATTGGTGACTAAGGGTAGTAGACAACACATGATTGAAAAACATACTGACCATTAAACTAGCTAGCTTTTAGGTCTTACATTGAAACCCCCGCATCATGCAGACTAAGATGGTTCTACTGGCAATTAACTACTAGAGGAAAAAATTAAGCATTTGTCAAGACACTAGATAAAAAACAAAACAAACAAAAAACACTTCTCCCCTTTTGTTGCTGTTAAAAATGTAAATTGGACATTTGCTGTAGTGAGCCAATGCCAAATCCACATGGGACACTTTGTGGGTGACTGAGATATGGGCAAACACTTGGGGGAGGCAAAGGAAGTAATTCCCATCCATTGAAACAAAATGAGACCTGAACCTCACTCCACAAACTCAACTGTGGTCTCCGTCCTCCTTTAAGAGGTCCTTGATGTTTATCTTTATTAATAATCTGTATAACTTTGAGGCTCAGAGACCAAAATCATATCTCCTATCTCAGTTCTGTCTGTATATTCAATGGCACAAAATTTAATTTCTCTGAACCTTACTGTTTCAGCTTCCATCCCAGTGCCTGACTTAAAGAGGAATCCAGGAAATGTTGAACCTGAGGCTGTTGGGCAGCCTAAAAATGGTGGGATAGGGTGAAGTGTGCTGTAGGCCTCTATGCACTGAACACAGTTGGCACAGTCCTCTACCTCAGTCCTGTCTGCGGGAAGAGGTACCAGCAGCAGGACATGTTAGGTGGGGAAGGAATGACAAAGGATAATGGATAACAGAATGACCTAAAAGACATAAATATCTAAACATAACTAAATTTTAAAAGGCTATTAGAAAAGTTGTAAACAAAATTTCTCCATGTCTACTGAGACCAGTGAAATTTTCTGGATTAAATGCAATAGCAACTAGATCTCTTACATATGCTGGTGAGACTGTAAAATTGTCATAACTTCTTTCAAAAACTATTTGGCAATATCTATCAAAGTTGAGTATATGCCTATACCATGGTCCAGCAATTCTATTCCTAGTTATAAACGCATACATATTCCACCACAAGGATTGTACTAGAATGTTCCTAGCAGCACTATTCATAGTCACTATTCATAATCAATAGCTAAAAGACATTTAAAAATGTTGACATCATGTGTCTTGCTACAACAAACATATATTGAGTAAGCATTAACTTTTGTTTTGCTTCAAAAGTTTTCTAAAAATACAATTTTTTAAACTGTCAACAGTCAATGGTACTAAATGTCTATTTAATATTAAGGTGAAGGCAAAAGGCAAAAATCAGAATAAATACAAGGAGGGAAAAAGAACAATTACACCTGAACCCCCTGCCCACACCTCCCCCCTCCAAAAAAAAAACTAAATTGCAAGTGGCTTCTAGAGTTGAGTATTGAATTTAGGATTTCTGATAGCCTAATGAATAGTAAATTATTCATTTAGGAATGGCAGCTACCTAAACACTCATCAATAGAATCGTAGTAAATCATGGTATATTAATACAATAAAATACTACATAGTAATGATCATGAACTGTCTACAATGTACAATAAGGATGATTCTCACAAAGGTAATGTTGAATAAAAGAAGCCAGGCACAAAATGATACATATTATGTGGTTCCATTCACATCAAGTACAAAAGTAGGCAAAATTTATCTATGATGTCAGGAGTTGGAAGAATGGTTTCCTTGAGATAAATGATAAAGGGAGATTTAAGATGCTTCCGGAGGGGTGGAAATTATTTATCTCTTGATCTCAGTGCTAGTTACATAGGTGTGTTCAGTTTGTGAAAATTTATTAAGCTGCATATTTATGTGTACTTTTCTATGTATATTATACTTTAACAAAATGTTTCAATGTATTTACAAAAATAAAGAAAATGCAGTAGCAGAATTCTCAGCCAAATATAAGGAGGACATTTAAGCAATCAGAAGCTTTAAACACTAAAGGAAGGCTGAGGGTTCTCTTCCTTGGAAGAAGAAAATCTGTAGGAAGTTCTAGGGAGCATGGCGCCATAGAAACAACTAAAAATAAACAATCTAAAATATTTCTTGCTTTAAAGACATCAGTGCCAGACTTCTTAAGATTAAGGCTAAACTGTTTTTACTTTGCAGATTTTTTACTACTCAACCAGCATTTTTCAGACGGCTGGTATCAGCAAACCTGTTTATGCAACCATTGGAGTTGGTGCTGTAAACATGGTTTTCACTGCTGTCTCTGTAAGTCAACGCTCTAGATAAATACTCCGCTTGTTCCTTAGTCCAGAAATTGCATGTGTGTGGCGGGGGTAACTTGGGCTCTAAAAGCAATCAATGACATTGTACACATGCTCTAAGTGTGTAAACCCAAGTGAGTCATGAGAAGAGTCCTGTTTGAATAAGCCAACCACTGCAATGAGATTAGGCATAACTGAGAGGGTGAATCACTGGTTCTCTGCACTGCTGGGATGCCATTTAGTCACTCATTTGTGAATTTGTAACTCACTTGGGGGCACAGAAAACTTCCTCCTTGTGCAGATTCCTAGGTTCCTTCTTTTCTCTGTACATAAACCCCTTGGGAGTAGCTGACAGCTTGTCATTTCTATTGATATTGGATGGTCTACTTAGATTCCTCTTTTTACATAGTTCAAATTCTTTTTTTACCATGGGGGAAAACATATAAAAATATGTTTTGGGGGAAACATATTTTTCTTGGGGAAAACATATAAAAATAAACAAACAAGGCCCTCTCTAACAGACATTTAACCCTTTAAGCAAAGTTAAGCAGACTCAGCAAATGGTATTAAGTCATTGGGCAGAGAGCTTCCAAGTAGTTCACAAAGTTGTGGCTTCTGGTGATGCATGAGAGTATGTGTGATATTATGAGGGAAGTGACAGCATAACTAGAAATGTTATTGCTTTCTTCCAACAACAACAAAAGGTCATATACTCTTCTTAAAACCAAATAACTTTCTATAAGAAGTGATGGTTCTTATATATTGAGAATATATAGGAAATGATGGTTTCTATATATTAAGAATATATAGGAAGTGATGGTTCTTATATATTAAGAATACATAGGAAGTGATGGTTCATATATATTAAGAATATGTAAGACATATATATCTTATATATTCTTAATATATAAGAACATGGCATTTCATTATGTGGGAAATACATATATGTATATATAATATACAATATATATAATATAAATATATATATTCTTATGTAAGAATACATAAGATATATTCTTAATATATAAGAACCTGACAAGAATATCTAACATAATAATCTAAGAAGTAAACAAGCAACGACAAAGACAAAAACTCCCCAACTAATGTAATTCACTGTAGAATGAGAGTCATTGAGCTTATTTTTATCTTTATTCAACAAGGTAAAAATAGCAAAAAGTATATTTTCAATTTTGGTCACAATACTATACTCAATATAATTTAGTCACTTGTTTTTCATTCTCCACACATGAACTCTTAACTATTACCTTAGGGTGATCAATAAATTACAGCCTGGCTACCCAGATCAAAAGGCAGGTTTGTCCAGACCACATTAAACAGTGCTGGACCTTGGAAAGAGCAGGAAAAACAGATAATAACGAAATGCCAATGATTCTGTAGACATACCGTTAGAGATAAGGCCTGTTCAAACCAAAAGGCCACTCTAAATCAATCAAGACCTGTTTCTGAAGTGCAATCCAAGGGACTATTCACCCTTTTGTCTCCTGGAATAATTTTTACAAATTATTCAACATATTTTTTATAATAGATTATTATTAAAACATTTTGTGTATAATAGGATTTTCTATGTAAAGCATCAAATTGTCAAGATTGGGTAGCCTAAATTCTGAAAAAATCTAAAGGGGAGACCTCTGTAAAGTTTCATTTTTGCACCCTGCTCCCAATTCCACTCATGTGGGAGGAGTTGTTTAAGACAGTGTCCTAATTATTTTGAATATACCTTTTTAGAGTTCATCCTTTGATTCTGTGAAACTTTTTGAACAGGGTAGTGACATAATCTTTAAAAATCACTCCTAATCATTAATTAAGCCTCCAGCACTACAGATCACATTTAAAATGTTTAAATATATTAATTTTTGAAATATTGTTTTAAAGTTCATAAAGTATAAAAAGGATGGTCCCTCAGTCATCCAGTTTCTCTCCCCAAAGTTAACCAATGTTACCAAATTGTGTGTGCATTTTCAAATAAAAATATGCAAATAGAAATATGCGCCAAATATGTTAATGTTTCACCAAATTGGAAGAACATCAATTTGTTTTTGGGAAGAGTGACTTTCCCAACTCCACACTAATTGTGTTCCACATCCTATATTTTCTTCCACACTAACGGGAGGGTAGAAGAGGGCCTGTAATCTTGACAGAAAAAAAAGCAGAAAGAAAAATGCAGGGAACTAGAAGGCAGGATGACACTGAGAGAGAAGCGGTGACTACCAAATTGCAACTAAGCGCCCAGGATTTGTGTGAGGCACTGTGGCAAAGATGAGGGTTCTGACTGGGCAGCTATCTCCAACCACTGACCATGTCTCACCCCTTGTCACACTCATCCTGAGTGCACACCAGGCCTCAGGGACACAGGCCAACTCAATTTTCAAGACGTGCAGTTTCAGAGTTTATAGTAAAGGAGCTTGTTCACAAAGAAATGCTTCTATTTTCTTGGTAGCTTGACATGGTGGCACCAAGTCAGTTTTGAACATCATAATAAAAGAGTTATAAAGAGATATTTAATGAACTTGAGAAAAGTCTGTTTTTTTCCAACTTCCTTCTCAATAATTAAATATGTGCTCTTTGCTTATCATCCTATCTGAAGTGATTTAAAACTCTGATATGAGCGTACCTCTGAGAAACAGGCTTTCACTGTAGGTGAAATGTTTCTAAGATATCTTCAGAACCAGAGCTCACTATACTAAAGACATTGGATTGTTATTGATTTACTGATAGGCTGATGAGCCAGCCAATTTGCTCACCAGGCGCCAAAGTGAGAAATTATGACAGGAAGTTTTGTGGGGGGTGAGAGGGAGAGTGACTCACCAGTCTTGGTAATATTCCAAGGATCAGGCAAGAGTATAACAAACTCTGGTCTTGGCTAATTGTAAATCTTAACCATTAATGCAAAGGTCCACAAAACTAAAGGAATCAGTGACGTATCTCCTCAGTTAAGATAAGAAAGCATTTTAACCCTTTGCTTTAAAGTCCTAACTTTTAAGATGAATAGTTCACTCCTGGCAAAAGATACAATTAAGCATACACAGAAAAATGCAGGCCTATTTTGGTACAATTATCAAATTCCACATGTTGCCAGGTGAGTGGTCATAATAGGACTTTATTAAGCAGTGAGAAAATTGGACGAGACTATTGACACCTGAACAGCTGTACTGTTTCCGGTGTCAGTAGTGCACAGACCCTTGTAATTATAACTTAGGATAGTTATCAGAAAAGAAGTTAATGTCATGTTTAAATGTGGAACCTTCACATTTTAAATGTACAGGACATCTACTGGGAGAGACCCCAGCTGTACAGTCTCTGAATATTGTACCCAAAGTGATAATCCTGGAGTAGTGGTAACACTATGTTTCTATCTCTATAATGGCCTATTCAAACCAATGTGACTAAATTAAGCGGATATTTGATCATTACCCGCTGTCCACTGAGACTAGCTCTGCCACCTGGGGCAGTCACTTCCCACCTCGATCTCACTCCTGTAAAATGGAAGGGTGGAATTGCTTCCTATCTGTTATATAAATTAAAATGACCTCTTTGGCAGTAAAAATGATTTAAGTAAACAGTCAATATTTTGTGACTCACAAAACTGAGATAATCTTCTTTAAAACTGTCCTAGGTATTCCTTGTGGAGAAGGCAGGGCGACGTTCTCTCTTTCTAATTGGAATGAGTGGGATGTTTGTTTGTGCCATCTTCATGTCAGTGGGACTTGTGCTGCTGGTAAGTTTGGTGCCTACACTGAGGTTTTTCATTAACATATGATGGTACCTGGCACCTCTGTGGTCCAGGTAAAAGTGCTTTGTATTCAAAAATATTTGAGACTGACTTATGAAATAAAGCCAGAGCAACAGCATAAAATCAAAGGAGATACATAAAGAAAAGATGAACTAATTTCTTGGGTTTAAGGCTGAATATCAGCATGTAAATTCTGGTTGACATCCAGGGAGGCCATGTACCCATGGCTAGAGCATAGGCTCTGGATTCACCACCAACTGGGTTTTAATGCTGACTCTGCCACATGGCTTCCTGTGTGACCTTGGGCATGTACCTGAACCTCTGCCCTCCTGGCATTCTCATCTACTACTTCACAGGAAGCTATACATCTTGTCTGGAAACCTTGTATGAGTAGGAGCAAAGGTCACTGGATCCTTGCCCTGCCTCTTTCCCAGGAAAATCCTAATCCAGAGGATTTCCTTATAAGAAATCTAAGTCTAAAGAGTTAAGCATGATTCAGACTAGAACAATTTCTCTCAGACTAGAATAACTTAGACTTGCTTGAACAAAACACATTAGAAAAAGATGTATGCCTGCCTCTGAACTCAGAGGCTACTTAGCTAAAGGAAAAAGCAGCTAATGATCTCAGTCCCACTATTGTTTTTGTTTTTTTCCTCAGAATAAGTTCTCTTGGATGAGTTATGTGAGCATGATAGCCATCTTCCTCTTTGTCAGCTTCTTTGAAATTGGGCCAGGCCCTATCCCCTGGTTCATGGTGGCTGAGTTTTTCAGTCAAGGACCACGTCCTGCTGCTTTAGCAATAGCTGCATTCAGCAACTGGACCTGCAATTTCATTGTAGCTCTGTGTTTCCAGTACATTGCGGTAAGCAGCCTAATATTTCACAGATTTACTGAACAGAAGAGAGGGTCAAACAACTGCTAACTGGAAGTCTGTGTTTGCTTTCTATCCAGGACTTCTGTGGACCTTATGTGTTTTTCCTCTTTGCTGGAGTGCTCCTGGCCTTTACCCTGTTTACATTTTTTAAAGTTCCAGAAACCAAAGGAAAGTCTTTTGAGGAAATTGCTGCAGAATTCCAAAAGAAGAGTGGCTCAGCCCACAGGGCAAAAGCTGCCGTAGAAATGAAATTCCTAGGAGCTACAGAGACTGTGTGAAAAAAAAAAAACCCTGTTTCTCGACATGAAAAGAAACAGTAAGGGAACCGTCTGTTTTTAAACGACGATTCCTTGAGCATTTTATGTATACATCTTTAAGTATTGTTTTATTTTTATGTGCTCTCATCAGAAATGTCATCAAATATTACCAAAAAAGTATTTTTTTAAGTTAGAGAATATATTTTTGATGGTAAGACTATAATTAAGTAAACCAAAAAGGCTAGTTTATTTTGTTACACTAAAGGGCAGGTGGTTCTAACATTTTTAGCTCTGTTCTTTATAACAAGGTTCTTCTAAAATTGAAGAGGTTTCAACATATCATGTTTTTTTTTTTATTTTATTTTATTTTTTTTTTTGAGACGGAGTCTCGCTCTGCCGCCCAGGGTAGAGTGCAGTGGCCGGATCTCAGCTCACTGCAAGCTCCGCCTCCCGGGTTCACGCCATTCTCCGGCCTCAGCCTCCCGAGCAGCTGGGACTACAGGCGCCCGCCACCTCGCCTGGCTAGTTTTTTGTATTTCTTAGTAGAGACGGGGTTTCACCGTGTTAGCCAGGATGGTCTCGATCTCCTGACCTCGTGATCCACCCGTCTCGGCCTCCCAAAGTGCTGGGATTACAGGCTTGAGCCACCGTGCCCGGCCTCATGTTATTTTTTTAACACATAACTAGAAACCTGAGGATGCAACTAATATTTATATATTTGAATATCATTAAATTGGAATTTTCTTACCCATAGATCTTATATTAAAGGAGATATGGCTAGTGGCAATAAGTTCCATGTTAAAATAGACAACTCTTCCATTCATCTCACTCAGCTTTTTTCTTGAGTACTAGAATTTGTATTTTGTTTAAAATTTTACCTTTGTTCTGTATTTTCATGTGGAATGGATTACAGAGTATACTAAAATATGTCTATAGAGAAAAACTCTCATTTCTGGTAGGCTTATCAAAATATTTCAGCACTCATAAAAGAAAACCATTTTAGTTCCTTTATTTAATGGACAAATCTTTTGCAAGATGTAACGCTAAAAGGGTTTCACCTGATCATATAGCCTGGGCCATCAGTTAACATTAACATCTATTATAAAACCATGTTGATTCCCTTCTGGTACAATCCTTTGAGTTACAGTTTGTTTTGCTTTTTAATTGAGCACAGCCTGGTTTTCACATGCACTCAATCATGAGTCAGACATTTGGTATATTACCTCAAATTCCTAATAAGTTTGATCAAATCTAATGTAAGAAAATTTGAAATAAAGGATTGATCAGTTTGTTAAAAATATTTTCTGAATTATTATGTCTCAAAATAAGTTGAAAAGGTAGGGTTGGAGGATTCTTCAGTGTGGGCTTCTGAAACTTCATAAATGTTCAGCTTCAGACTTCATAAAAATCCCTGTTTAATTTTCCTGGAAAGACTAATTGTTTTATGGTATGTTCCTAACATAAAATAATCGTCTCCTTTGACATTTCCTTCTTTGTCTTAGGTGTATACAGATTCTAGTCAAACTAGAATCATATTCTATGGCCATTGCTAACATGGCCATTACTAACATGCATTGTACACTATCAATCTGCCTTTACCTACATAGGCAAATTGGAAATACAAAGATGATTAAAGAGATTTTAGCTTACAGTCAATTTTACAATTATGGAAATACAGTTCTGATGGGTCCCAAAAGCTTAGCAGGGAACTAACGTATCTCTAGGCTGTTTTCTCCACCAACTGGAGCACTGATCAGTCCTTCTTATGTTTGCTTTAATGTGTACTGAAGAAAAGCACTTTTTAAAAAGTACTCTTTTAAGAGTGAAATAATTTAAAACCCTGAACATTTGCCTTGTTTTCTAAAGTTGTTCATATATATGTAATTTAGCAGTCCAAACAACAAGAAATTGTTTCTTTTCAGTGTGATTTGTTTTTCTTTTGGGCCAATTTGGGATAAACTATTTTCACTTGGGATTTCAGGATACAGTCAAAATGAGCTTAAATAACTGAGGACATCTTTGTGCTAAACTGTGAACTCTGGACAAAAATATAGGGTCTCTAAATAGGGCAGGAGCAGGAAAATGGCTCCTGGTTGGCTCTTGTATGCTTCCTCAGCAGACAAGATGGCCTTTGGGATGCCGATGGCCTTTGGGAAGCCCAGTGTTAACAATGATAAAGGAGCTTAACACTTTTATAGGCGATATATGTGATTTAATCAAATCACTACTCCTGATCTCATTTACTAACAGAATAAAGTGGTAAACATTTAAATTAAAAATTCCAAAGACCACTTTTAGGTGCTTATTCACTGTTTTGGCCCACAAACATCAGAAATTCAGACCCTGAAGTTTTCTGCCTCAGAGAAATTTAAGTACCTTATATTGTTCCCCCTTCTACAACTTTTTCCTTGCAGAGATACATGTGAGTTGAAAAGAAACATTAAAGGGAAACAAGAAGCTGATAAAGCTTTACAGGAGGACCAAATAACTAGCTTGCTATAATAAAAAATCATATGTCTTCAATGGTATACATCATAATAAAAAACAAAATTGACACTACTTAATTAGATTTAATCCCAGGGAAATTAGATGTGAATTTGAACACCTAACTTTCCAGGTCCTCCCTCATTTTTGTGGAAGTGTTTGTATACTCTAATGTCTTTACAAATGTGATTTTTCTCTTAGCTTGTTTGAAGTATGAGAATTAGAGTTTTTGGTCTGGCAGTCACCTGCTACATCTAGGATTGCCCACTGTCATGACTCCCAGGAAAAGGTCCTATCTTAGTTTCCTCCTCCCTACTTTCCTCTACATGGTCAGCACTGTAATGCAACTAAGATGTAGTAAGGCATTGCTCCCTCCCCCTACACTTCAAGGAGTTCACAGTCTAATGGGGAGTTCAGGAAGGCCAGAATATTAATATCCCCATTTGTGTCTTTTGCCTTCCATGGACCTGGGTTTCGAGCCCTCTCTTGTAAAATGGGCACAGTAATATTACCTACCTCAGAGAGTTGTGAGGATTAAACATGAAGTGCTAAGCATAGTGCCTGCTACAAAGAAAGTACTCAATAAATGCTACCTAGAACTAGTATTCATAGCCATACTGTTAGGATAAAGAATTATCATATACGAGATAGTTCCAAATTTTTCTTTTTAAAAAAAGGAGTTTTATAAGTTCAAGATAATATTTTCTTGCTTCAAAGAAACAATCTCACAACAATGAGGGAATGGGAAGAATCAGGAGATTGCTTACCTGGCAGGGGAGCTATCACAATCACAAAGGTGGTTTTCCCAGGGCAAGGCTCATCCATTATACTCCGGATGTGCTGACCCCTGCCATTTCCCCAAATATGGGAAACCCAACTGCATAGTTTGTAGTAGTGGGGGACTGTGTTCATGCTCTCCCCTGAAAAACACAACAACAACAAAGAATCAGAAGAGATACTAGGCTATCTAATTCCTAAATCCAAACCTGATATTCCTTAAGTAAGATTATAAGAGTTTTTATTGTATTTTTTGAATTTGCTTTTGTATAAGTTATGTTATTTTTACAGGATCTACATGTACTATTATTTCTTAGAATAATACTAATTATAAAACAAAATTCTGTATATCACATTTAAATGTAATGTAATAGAATTATAATCACAAGACAAGACCAAACTTTGTTGATAATCCTCATTAATTGCCAAAGAGGTATATATATGTAGGCCAGCATACATGCATAAACTACTTCTTATTGCTAGTTTAATTGTTCCATATGTAGTAAATACAGCAGTTCAGCAATATCTTGTGCTGAACTGACCCTGTAGAGTCCTAAGCAGAGGTGATGAGTCAAATGTAAATACATATATATGTTTTTTTTTTCATGGCAATTATGTATTAGTGACCTGGGGAGAAAAGGTTTATTGACAACCACTCTGATCCATCTGCTGCTATTTTTACTGCTAATTTGGTGCATGATCATGAAAAGAAACTACTTTGAGTTAAAAGTATATATATACAATAGTTTGATATCAATAAATACATTTCTGAATGCTTAGTGTTGCTTCATTTATATAGAAAAAAACACACTTTAAAAACTGATATTGGTTTATTATGTATAGTCATTTCCTTCTGACAGTACCTTCCCATTCTCATTTTAGAAATAAAATGTGAATGATTTTTTAAGGCCAAATTTTATTCCCATCTGGCAGTTGTTTTAATTATAAGTAGTAGAAAAACTAACCTGAAGATTAAATAAGAACAGTAGAAGAGAAATGAATGACTCTGTTTGATGAAAATAATTTAATTCAGCAAATAGTTAATTGAGTTCTTTTTATGAACAAGATACTTTGTTAAAGTTCTGTGACACATACAAAGCTTAGAAAACATAGTCCCTACCCTCAGTCACTTGCATTCTCATAAAAGAGCTAAGATTTGAAAACAACTAGTTATAGTACTATAAGGAGTGTCGTAAGAGTACAGAAAGTACACATCAGTGGTTTTCAAATTTTTAAGTTGACACATTAAATTTTTTGTCAAATATTTGAAAATCTGCAAAAGATGCAATTTTTCAGAATATAGTATATATTGGCATTTTTTAAAATTACTGTGCTGTTTATTTATTCAATTGAATTTAAAAACTATAGTAATTTGTTACTATCCGCCATCAAAAAACAAAGATATTATGTATAAGCTTTTCATATATATATATACACACACACACATGCATATGCCTCCAGCTACAAAGGACAATATTTTTTTTTGGCTGCATAGTATTCCATGGTGTATATATATATATCACACTTTCTTTATCCAGTCGGCTATTGATGGATACTTTGATTCCATGATTTTGCTGTTGTGAATAGGGCTGCATTAAACATACAAGCTCATGTGTCTTTTAGACATAGTATTTTTTTTCCTTTTGGTAGATGCCTAGTAGTGGGATTGCTGGGTTGAATGGTAGTTCTATTTTTAATTCTTTGAAGACTCTCCACACTGTTTTATTAATACATAGATGTACTAATTTACATTCCCACCAACAGTGTATAAGCATTCCCTTTTCTCTGTGTCCATGCCAACATCTGTTGTTTTTTGACTTCATAGTAGCCATTCTGACTGAAGTGAGATGATATTTCATTGTAGTTTTAATTTGCATTTCCCTGATGATCAGTGATGTTGAGAATTTTTCATATGTATGTTGGCCACTTGTATGTCTTCTTTCGAGGACATGTCTGTTCATGTCCTTTGCCCACTTTTTAATGGATTGTTTTTTCTTGCTGTTTGTGTTCTTTGTAGACTCTGGATATCAGTCCTTTGACAGATCCATAGTTTGCAAATATTTTCTCCCATTCTGCAGGTTGTCTGTTGACTCTATTGCTTATTATTTTGTTGTGCAGAAGCTTTTTAGTTTAATTAAGCCTCATTTACCTATTTTTGTTTTTGTTACATTTGCTTTGAGGTCTTAGTCATAAATACATTGCCTAGCCCAATGTCCAGAAGAGTTTTGCCTAGGTTTTCTTCTAGGGCTTTTATAGTTTTAGGTATTACATTTAGGCCTTTAATCCATTTTGAGTTAATTTTTATAAATAGTAAGAGTAAGGGGTCCCATTTCATTCTCCTGCATATGGCTAGCCTATTTTCCCAGCACCATTTATTGAATAGGGTATACTTTTCCCATTGTTTATATTTGTCGAAGATAAGTTGGTTTCAGGCATGTGGATTTATTTCTGCGTTCTCTATTCTGTTCCATTGATCTATGTATCTATTTTTGTGCCAGTACCATGCTGCTTTAGTTACTATAAGCTTGCAGTATAGTTTGAAGTCAGATAATGTGATGCCTCT